ACTAGTTAGTTGTTCCGATTTTGTGTAGTTATATAAAAATATCATATATTTATCTAAATTTGCAACTTGGAAATGATTAAATTGAGGATTTTCCAAATTACTAGTACAGAATACTTTAGTGTAGAAAAATAGTTAAATTTTGATTATGAGGCTGGGCAAGAAGTACTCAGATTTTGTTCCATGATTGGTACTTTAACCTTAGATTTTATTAAAATTCTTTGTGATTGTTAGGGCTACTGGCGATGGCTACAACGTTTATCATTCCTTTATTAAAATGAAAAAGTTTTAACATTAAATGTACAAATCAGGTGGACTTAAAGGGCTTCAAAGGGGCCTTAGGGAGACTATGGGGGGCCTAATTAAAAACCAAGCCTATAAAAATAAGGGAGAAAACAACCGAATACTCCCTTATTTTTAGTAGGGAAATGTGGTAATCTCCACCTAAATCACTAATTGTGTGTGTGTGTGTGTGTGTGTGTGTGTGAGAGTAAGAGAGAAAGAGAGTGAGTGTGTTAGTGACCATCTGTCCTCTTGCACTTGCCTTCCGCCAGATCTCCAAAAATTGTTTATAATTTTAAGTTTCTTAAAACTTTTTAAAAAAGCATCTTTTTTGAATTATGATTACCTCATTTATTATCGTTGTAGTGTTCTACTATATAGTGTTCTACTATAACAATAGTAAATGATACATTACAAGAATTGCATAAAAATAAAATTTATAAAATTTTTAATATATTTTATTATATAAGTACTTATCACTTTCTATATGCTGTATTTTTCTGTTGGAAGTCTTATAATAGTAATTCTAGCTGTAAACCTTGAATTTTGGAACAAGTTAACATTCGAAGAAAGTAAAATAAAAAATACGATAAAAAATAACTACAACTGTTAAGGTAGTTAATTCCTGAATCAAAATTATCTAAAAAGGTACGAAATTGTCAGCAAAACTAATACAAGCGTCGAGAAATATGTGTAAAAAAACTTGAGACCGATTTACCCCGTCGTTATTGGAAAATCATCGTCAAAAAACACTCTTTTAACATTGGAGTAATGGTGCAAACACTACATAGCCCCATTATTTTAAAAAGTGCAACTTAACGCATATCTATAAACAATAGAACAACTACTATCAACTACCTTAGACAGGAAAGAAACACATAATTTTTTTTGAGAATTTTTTACCACATTGTTTTAAAATAACAGTAATTAAAAAAATACTCTTCGTTTGATTTTGGAAGATAACCAAGTATCGCGTTTGTTGCAGCGTCACATTGTCACATGAATACAAGTAGATGTATATGTTTATGTGTAGTGTATGTGTATATTATATACACATAGACAATGCGTATATATACAACTGCGAATATGTAAGTATATTTGTATACACTGATAATGCTCTGTATATGCTTGTATGGGCACTCTGGCTATTGACAAGATGTAAGGAAACGGAATAAAGTCAGTCCATCCTGAACCATCAAAGAGACACATTGTTATTTACCTTATCACTTTATTCTATTCGACATATAGAACAGTGGCGACGAGGATAAACCTGTATAGGAATGTAATCGTGATTAAATGAGTCAAACATCGTGGATCCGAAACTTAATTTAACAACAATTAATTGAAGTTTGTGATGCCAATGGCATAGTTGCATCGGAGAATAATACTATAGAACAATTACGGCAGGCTTTACGGCAATTCGTGAAAAGTGCAAAAGATGATCCAAGTATTGTTGTAAAAACTTGGCAGAATTTACAAGAAAAAGAAAAAGAAGAAACTGAAGCTAAGGAAGAACAAAAAGAAACTGAGGTAAAAAACGATACTAGAAGGAAATCAAAAATAGAAATTTCATCTAACTAAGATTTTGACATTAAGGAAAATGAGTGGGAAAAGTTTACGGACAGGATGGAGCAATACTTCATAGCAAATGATGTGGAAGACCGAAGAAAAAAAAGAGCGATTTTACTAAGCAAGGTAAATGCCGAAACCTACGATGTTGTTGACGAAGTCTGTAAGCCAGAGAAGCCTGGGGCAAAAACGTACGATGAAATAGTGAAGCTAGTGAAGGATTATCTGAAACCAACAGTTTCGTATTTGGTGCACCGGTCGAATTTTCGACAACGTATGCAAAAAGATAATGAATCAGTCAGTGAATGAGTAGCGACTCTGAAAAATTTAGCTAATGACTGTAAATTTAGTACCAATCTCGATGAGCAAGTACTTGATCAACAAGTAGTTAGACTGCAAAGTGCCTCTATAAAAGCAGAGATTTTGAAATTAGAAACACCAACATTAAAGGAGGCTCTGCAAAAATCACTGGCAACAGAAGCGGCAAATAAAGGAGTCGAAAATTTGAAAACCAATAACAGCAATAGTAATGATCCTAGTTATGTGGACATGCATAAAATTAATACATCAATAAAAAGGAACTTTGGTTCCATGCATCAAAAAGGCAGAAAACAACAACAAATTGGAAAACAAGAATCTACGATCCAAAGGAAATCCCAGAGGCCGGAATCATCACAAGAACAGGATTCAACACCAAAACAGCAAACAGAGAACTTATGTTATTGTTGTGGCAAGGCAAACCATTTAGCGCGTGACTGTAAGTATCGAAGAGAAATTTGTAATGTATGTAACCTCGGTCGTGTGTGTTTTCATCGTGAAAATGAAGTAGTGGCATTAAACAATAAGCGTGTAGGATATGTCAACACACACGACGGGAGCGATACCGACTGTAGTTATAGCAACAGTGATAGTGTCACTCACGAAATAAATAAAATGTTTACGAAAACTGAATCGCGCGATGTACACTGTTTGAAAGCGTATATTCTCGAAAAAATTGAAGTAAATGCTCAATTTATGAAAGTAAAAATAAATGGAAAAAAGATTGAAATAAAAATCGATTCGGGAGCGGCACTATCCATCATACCTATGAGTTTCAAAGAAAAACATTTTGAAAATATAACGATGTATAACGCTGACATTGAAGCTATGAATCATGACAACACTGTGTCAAAATTTGTCAGAATGTTACGGAACGTAAGCATAGAAGCTAATAATATGAAAATAATATCAGATGTATATGTATCAAACGCTGAAAGTCCGCCTATCATAGGTCGACCGTGGCTAAAAGCTCTCAAATTATGGCCTTTGTATTTGGGTATAAAATTGCATGTAATTGAAAAAGAAAAAAATCCGACACAAAAATTGAAAGAGATTTNATACCTATGAGTTTCAAAGAAAAACATTTTGAAAATATAACGATGTATAACGCTGACATTGAAGCTATGAATCATGACAACACTGTGTCAAAATTTGTCAGAATGTTACGGTACGTAAGCATAGAAGCTAATAATATGAAAATAATATCAGATGTATATGTATCAAACGCTGAAAGTCCGCCTATCATAGGTCGACCGTGGCTAAAAGCTCTCAAATTATGGCCTTTGTATTTGGGTATGAAATTGCATGTAATTGAAAAAGAAAAAAATCCGACGCAAAAATTGAAAGAGATTTTCAAAAAACACCGAGAAATATTTACGCGAAAGAAAGGATCATTTACTAAAGGTGTAATCAAATTACAATTAAAGGAAAACAATAGCCCGAAGTATTTACTGGCTCGCACGGTACCATTTTCGCTCAAAGAGAAAGTCAGTAAAGAATTAGAACGTTTAGTTTGCGAAGGTATAATCGAGGCAGTGGAAACTAGTGAGTGGACAACACCGATTGTGCCGGTTCTTAAACCCAATAGCGATGTCCGAATTTGCGCTGATTTCAAAGTAACATTAAATCCACAGCTAATTACAGTCAGGCATTCGCCACCAAATTTTGATCATGCTGTCGCGGAACTAGTAAGCGGGCAGCGATATACAAAAATTGATCTAAAAGATGCATATTTGCAAATGCCAGTAGATATTGATTCGCAGCCTTTATTAACAATAAACACGCACAAGGGTTTATTTCGCTATAAATACATGGCATATGGCATTAGTTCAGCCCCTGGTATATTTCAAATAAAAATGGAAGAAATCTTTAAAGGGATTTCGGGAATAGTTATTGTAGCCGACGATACAGTAATAACAGGCAAAACCATAAAAGAACATTTACAAAACCTTGATAAAGCCTTAAGCATTTTAAACGAATGTGGTTTGAAAGTTCGTCAAAATAAATGTCATTTTTTTAAAAATGAAATAACATATTTAGGCTATAAAATCAAAGAAAATACAATTAGTGTCGACCAAAGTAAATATGAAGCAATCGCAAACATGCAAGAGCCGTCAAATATCGCAGAAGTTCAGTTACTGTTAGGAAAAATAAATTACCACGGTCGTCTATTCAAAGATCGTGCTGAGAAGTTAGCGCCATTATATAAATGTGTAAACAGCATTGAATTCATATGGGATGATTATTGTAGAACCGCATTCGAAGAGGCTAAGAATGCATTAAAACAAATTGTAATGGATTATGATCTGAATTTACCATTATATTTAACGTGTGATGCTTCACCATTAGGATAAGGTGCATACCTTAGTCAACCAACCACAGATGGCGAAAAGCCAATAGCATTCGCTTCAAAAAGACTTACAAAGGCCTAAGAAAATTATGCACAAATAGATAAGGAGGCTGCAGCAATAATTTTCGTTATCACGCGATTTTACGATTATTTATACGGCAGGCAATTTGTTTTAAAAACGGATAATAAGCTGTTATCAAGAATCTTTGGTCCGATGAAAGGAATACCTCGAATTGCAGCGAGTCGTTTGCAAAACTGGGCATTTTTCTTATCGGCATTCGACTACAAAAATCAATGTATACGTATCGAGGAAAATGTTGTTGCAGACACTTTGTCCAGACTACCAATTAAAAACGAATATCAAAATGTAACTAATGTTAAAAAATTTGAATACACATATTTGCATCACATTATACAAAGCAACATAACTCGTATGATAATGATACTGATGATAATGATAATGATTATGATGATGGTGTTGATGATAATAATCATGAAAATAATGATTATGATGATAATGATGATGATATTTATAATAATAATAATAATGATGATGATAATAATGATGGTAATGAT